GAGGGACAGAGAGAAAATGCTTCGAGCTGAGAGATGGAGTGTCTTATTTGTAGGACAACAAAGAATCCAGAGTCACTGGATTGAAGAGTATGTGGTAGGCAGTAAGAAGACTAGAAAGGTAGGAGGGGGTTGGGTTGTGAATATTTATGCCAAATAGAACAGTTTGTATTTGTTCTTAGTGATGAGTTGGAGCCCGTGCAGTTTACTGAGTATGGGGGATGACATGGTTGGATCAGCACTTTAGGGAAATCCCTTTGGTGGCTGAATGGAGGATTGATTGGAGTGGAGAAAGACTTGAGGCAGGCAGACCCACCGACAGGCAATTGTAGTAATCCAGGTGTGAGGTGATAGGATTGCACCAGAGTGGTGGCAAGTGTAAGAAGAGAGAAGAGGATGTATTTGTGAGATGTTGCAAAGATGAGATTGACAGGCCTTGGCAACAGTTTGGATATAGGGGATTAGAAATAGTGAGGAGTCCAGGCTGACCCCTAGATTGGGAGCCTAAAGGACTGGGAGGCTGTGTTGACCTCTATGGTAATAGGGCAGGTAGAAGTGGGACTTGGACAGGTGGGACTCAGTGGGGGAGAATATAAGGAGACAAGGATGTGTTGAGTGTATTCCACTGTCTTAGATTTGATTAGAGAGGAGTTAGTATTTTTTAAGGGGTTTTATTTTATCCAAATGCAGGTTGCTAACTGATTGTCGTTATTTTTGCTACTTCAATAAATCCTTCTTTTTTTCCCCTTAAAAGTAGAGTATACATTCGTATACTTTAATATCATTAATATGTTGTTTATCTTATTTACATTTGAATGGCTACGAAGTAGAATCTTTTTGAAAGTGTAACTTGATTACATTAAGATGGTTTCTCCTCTCCCTACCCCTTCCCCCCCACCCCAAGCACTAACTTTCTTTAAGTAATTAAATGAGATTTGGGCTTTGCATTTAGAGACCTTTGGGAGCCAGAGGAAAATAGAACCATTTCCAAGTAATAAATCTGTTTTTTAAAGAGAGGTTCTTCACCAGAAGGTTATATCATGTAATAATTTTTTTCTCAGCTACAACTCACAGAAAACACAACTGACAACATTTATATATATATATATGTATATGTGTGTGTGTATATATATATATATGTATATGTGTATATATATATATATATATACACACATATATATATATGAGAAATATTTTGTTAATCCATCCTTGTGTTGCCAGAAGGAATATCACAGTAGAAAAGAGGAACGGTACATTAGTTCTGTTTTCTTAACTCAGCATTTATGCAGATAAATTTTAAATTCACTAGCATAAGATTGTGGTGCCAGGTCCTACCGATATTCATGTCAGGAATTTTCTGTTATTACTTACTGTAGCTTTAAGAAATTTCTGCAACTGTGCACTTGGAATCTAGTAAATCACTCTCAGTAGGAGAGAGGGGTCTTCAGGTATGGCTGAATGCTCTGAGACTAGTCTAGTGGTTTCAACCAGGCACAGATATTCAGTGTTCATTTACTGTAAGGTGTTTGTGTCAACTCTGCCAGTGAGCAGAAAAACCTTGCATGGGGAAAAGGGTCACAGAGAACTGGAAAAAGAAAGTCAGTATGGGGATGCCAAGCTTACAGGAGAGGGATGGGGCCATGGTACCATGGCTACAAGGCTTCCAGAAAGGAGGGGGACTTAATTGACAGTCTAGGGCAGTGGGTAGTGGAGACAACATCCCAAAAGGCAGGACTAGCCTTTACCTTAGGAGATCCTCAGAGAGTCTGGGTAAGTGAGACTCACCCAGGGTTGTAAGAGAAGGGGATAGGAACGTGAGGATGGTGTCAGCTGCAGGTTAGAGCTTTTCCACCAAGGACTATGAGTTAGGTAAAACAGATTTTAGGAAGGAAGACACCTAACAGTTTTGCCAAATAAGATCTTTTGGCTAGAAACATAAAGCTATACAAGATCCAGTTCAGACGGACTTAGGCTGGCTGACTCCGGAGAAAAGAGCTGGAAGGAAACCTTAGTCAGGTATAGGGGGTTGGGGGGGGTGGGGGGTGGGGCACAGGCTGGGGAGACAGAACTAAGATTTAATTTAAAGCCTGCTTCTCTGCATGTTTTGCACCAAGGACAAGGATTAACTCCTGAGGCTTCTGTAAACTTTCATATTTTCCTCTTTGTTAGTTTAATCTTCTGTGTTTAGTTTTAGGTAAATAGATAAAGCATTTATTAAGCAATTACTGTGTGCAAGGTGGAGTATTGGAGGAAAAGTCTGGAGAGTGGGTTGAGCCATGAGGGAAGTGAAATGTGTCTGGGGACCCTCCCAAATTATTGGTCTGGATTGACATTCACCACTTAGGAAAGCGGGGAGAGGTTTTTCAGAGAATGAGGTTTTTCCGGGGTGGGAAGGTGGTTATCCAGGGAGAGGAGGTGGAGGAGGTAGAATCCAGAAAGTGATGAGAATAGTGAGTAAACTAAGTTTTAATTTTAGTTCTGAGTAATAAAAGCCCTAAAAAACACCTAAGTGAAGGTTTGTGCTGTTTGTTTTTTTTAGAAGTACAATAAGGAAAAAGTTGTGTTCTCTCTCACAGATTGAGCCAGGCTGAAGAAAAGAGATCATTACATTGAAAAACTAAGAGTGGATGCCAGCAAGTCAAGTGTTGGGCCCTGGTGGTAGAATGAGCTGGGTCATGTATGAGGGTATGCTAGATAGTCAGGGCTAGAGATAAGGAGTGCCTCATATTTATATTCTCAAATGGGAGGTACCTTGGCCTTTTGCAGTCAAGTTCCATCAATCAGAGATGTTGCTTATCATTCTGCAGGTCCAGGCCTGTGTGCTGGTTTTTTCCTACTAATCATAGATAGGCACAGATCAACAGAACCCCATACAAGGGGCTCCTTTGCTCCTTGGAACCAGTCCTGAATAGGTAAATAAGAGAGAGATACTCATTCATACAACTGAGCGGTACTTGCAATATCCCAACACTGCAGGTGAAGAGGGCCTTATTTCACATGATCTTACAAGTTTTCCAGCTGTGGAGCACAACAGTATTTTTGTGCAATTATAACTTGCCCCATGTAATCAGCATCAGTTGTACCTGCCTCTGATTCATAGGGGGAGGGGTTGTTAGCTGCGATAAGCATCTCTGTTGTATGATTACAAACCACTGCTTTTCCTCCACCCTGTTCCTACAGGTTTGCTTTTTCAGCCCCAGTATCTCTGATAATCCTATTGTTATGTTGTGGAAATGGGGAAGGGGAGGATGGGTGGTTATCATGTCTTATACGGAGCCTGTTATACTGTTTGCCTTCTGTCCAATGCCTTAGTGCGTGTATATTTTGAGAAAGAGGGAAAGAAGCAAAAGAGGAGTTGGGGAACCCAATTTAGAAGGACTTGGCTCCTCAGAGTCAGAAATCTTTTTTGATTACCCCCCCAGAAAACTCCAGCAGCTGTTGCAGCAAGCCCTTTAGATGTCTCGGCCTGGTGGCTTTTTCCAATAGTGAAGGCTCCAGCTATACTCAGGAGCTGTCTATAGTTGAAGCCCATGAAGAAACCCAGGAGTGTGGAGTCGGTGACTCAACAAACATTTATTTAGCATTTACAGCCCCTGCTTTCATGGGTTCACTTTCTGATGGGAAGGACAACGTGCAAATGTCCATACATACCTTTATGATCTGTGTACATAGAAGCCAGATGCAGTGTAAATGGAAGGTAAATCTCAGAGGGAGAATACTAGCAGTAGGGGATGAAGAGTGGCCTGCAGAAGGTGGGCTTTGAACTGAATCTCAAAGCCAGGAGGCAGAATTGAGGAGGGAGAGCATCCCAGGCGTGGAGGACTGCAGCTGGAGCTCAAGGGCATATGGTTAGAGGCTCTGCCTGTGTCCCATTAGGCAGCATACCTTTGTAGGGAGCCACTTCCACAGAGCAGGAGGTTCCTAGGCCAGAGTCTTTGAGCCAGCCTGATTCCTCCCTTTCTAGTGTATGCCTACCTAGTTTTTCAGGTCTCATCCAGAAATGGTTGGCACTAGTCTGTGAATCACTAGATACAGAAGCCAGATCAAAATTAGCAAGCTCAGAGATCGCTTGCTAGAATATTCTAACATCACTCACTACTTCCCACCTCTTCTGTGGTTTTGACTTTTTGCTGCTTTTGGCACCTAGGTTGTATTAATTTTTATAGACTAATAACTACCTTATTAAACTAATTTAAGATGGGTTATAAGTAGTCAACAAAACAACTGAGTAAAAAGAAAGGCAGCAGATGCTTCTTTAAAAGGATAATTAGGAGGACAGATGACGGCAGCAAGACATTACAGTAATTAGGAGGCAGCTGGAAGGCACTGTAACAGCTTTATTTAGACACCCAGAATGGTCAGCCTGGAAGAGATCTCAGAGTCAAATCCCTTCATTTTATAGATGAAGAAACAAAGATCCGGCCAGATTAACCGACACGTCCAAAGTCACATAGCTAGTTGTTAGCCGAATCAGGACTAGAGCCAGGTCCTTTCCTGTGCCATAGGATCTCAGAGAATTCTTACATCTAGAGTTAAAAGGCGGCGCCTCAGCAGCCATCTGTCAGAGGTGAGAACTGAGGCCCAGGGAGGTGAAGTGACTCATCCAAGCTAACAGGTAGTAAGTGGAGGTGACAGCTCAAACTTCTTTAGAAGCAGTTTTAGAATAGAGTTGTTTTCATGTAAAATATAATAGGATAGTTAGGACCTGGGCTTGAATTCACTTCCTTTGTAAGGAAAAAAAAATAGCTGCCACATCCAACAAGGCTCATTATAAGTAAGGATTTTGCTAAAGATCGGCCTGATAGGGAAATATGTTGGTGCTAGAAGAAGCATTGGAGAGAGTTGAGCTCCTCCTCATTTGACGAATGGGGAAGCTGAGGTAGGTACAAGTAAATGACTCATTCCAGGTTGCAACAGCTCACCAGTGGCATAGTCAGGACTTGAATAGAGATGTCAGTAGAGATGTCTTGACTTCCAGTCCAGGGTACTCTCTAATTGGAGACAGCATGGTGGATAAGGACTGGCTTTAGACTTGGGAAGACCCACCTCCTCCAGGTACTGTCTGTGTTACCTGGGGCAAGCGACTGCCTCACTGTCCCAGCTTAAGACTACAGACAAGCTGCCTACCTGGATTGGTAAAAGGGATTTCCTCATCTGGTAGTTCCCGATGTCACTGAACTCCTCAGTCCAGCCTGTACCATGTGACTACTCAGCATTATAGTTGCCTACTCCTTGACTGAGGTCCTCAACCTTATGGCAGGGCCCTCATCTTTTTCCAACTTGACATTCTCATCTGGGTAGCTTCTCTTCCTTAATAGCCAGCAAGAAGTCCAAATATTTTTTAGGAACCATGGCTTTCTTTTAGACTTCAGCTCCTTCTAGAAGAACTATTACATGCTATTTGTTTACTCTAAGTCAGGTTTGGAAATTCGTTCCCCCTTGCATTTAAAAATCATGTCCTTTGTATTTTCTTGGTCATTGAAAATTTGGGGTCTTCGTTGTAAGACATGCAACTAGATTTATCACCAAATCAATACTGATTTATGATTATACATTGAAAGCTAGAAGAGACTTCATAGGCCATCTCATTTAATTGCCTCGTTTTACAGGTTTTACAGCTTAGGCCCAGAGGAGTTTAAATGAGCTGCCCAAAGTAATAGGCATGAGGTAGGATTAGAAGCCAGGTTCTCCAGTTTCAGAAACAATAATCTTTCCACTGTACCGTGTTGCTTCCTATATTGACAGAAGTATTTTCTTTCATGGGGCAGGGGGGAGGTGAGGGAAGGAAAAAAAAGAAAAAAAATTTACGTGATAGCTTCATTATATATTTAAAAGGAATAGTGGTTTGTACATGATTAGGTTTGCAGTTTCATGTGCGGTCACCTTTTTATTATACTGTGATATGAAAATGTTTGTTTTATTCCATAGATTAAAAATAAAATAAAATTTTAAAAATAAGTACTTAAATACTTTTAGGATCTGTAATTTCAGCAATTTGAGGATTCCATCCCTTGAAACAGATCATAACCCCTCCCTGATGTTCTCCATGAATTGCTAGGGCCAAAAAAATCACCCCCTGGCAGCCAGTCATCTGATGATATGTGTGCCTCTTTGAACTTATTGAGGCTGGTCTTTGGACAGCAGATACCAGCTATGGACAGGTCCAGTGGACAGGCCCATAATGAATCCCTTTTTAAAGCCTCCAGCTTGGTAGGACCTCTGAGAGTTGGAGCTTGACTGACATGGCCTTTGAAAACCAAGAATCACTTCCACATTTTAAGGCATTGGAGTGAGACTTCAGGGGAGATAGGAACATGTGGATTTACAAAAAAACTATTAAAATGCCCCATGTTGTTCTCTTGGCTGCTGCTTCTCTGACCTACCCCAGGTCCCAGCTTTGTCACTTGAGACATCCACCCTTCAGATCCCTCTCAGGGTTGGTTTCATCCCAGTTAAAGGGAAACATATTTTTGTCTTTATTTTCCTGCATGATACATTCCTGTCGCTTTCTCTCTTTCCTCTCCCACCATGAGACTTAGCCAGAGCCAAAATATCTTTAACCAAGAGAAGTGTAATGTTAGGCAATCCTTCCCCTCCCTCTGTGTCCGGTTGCAAGTTAGTGCCTCTTGGGCATCTCAGTAGCATTAGCGATTGTGTAAAAATAAGAAAATGAAAGCCATAAATCCTTTTTATTGCATGTAAGTCTTGAACATTTGATAGTCCAGTGGCCAAAGGGGAGTTTCTCTTGCTGAGTAATTAATAAATGTGGTCATCTCCTCTGGGGCCTCAGCAAGAGGGAAGGGAAACGCTGAGCGTGTGGTGAGGAGGGGGGAGAAAAAACAACAAGGTTTGAGGCTTTCTCCTCTCTGCTGGTTTTCAATCAGGATGTTGGTGTTGGGAAAGTATAACAAAAACATTGCTTTTTCTTTCTTTTTTTGGTGGTAACAGGAGAGAAGGTGAGTGAAAGAACAACTGTTCTGAAGAACAGTCACCAGTTTGACCTTTAGCAGTTGGGGCTGTGGGATGCTAGGCTTGTGGGGGGGGGGGGGGGGGGGGGGGGGGGGGGGGGGGATGGGCAAGGTAAATATTAGCTCTGTGGGTTTGAGAACTGAATTCTGAACAGCTTTATGTGAGATTGAGACAAAAGTGAATGACGGAGGGAGAAACTGAGCCCAGCAATCTTTCCCCTCTCGGTGATTTACCAGCTCATTCTACACTATGGTCTTGCCACTTACCTCAGGCCTTCCCTCTGACCCTCCTCCTCCTCCTCACCCCGGCAGAGTCCGTTCTTGGAGCCAGGTTTGGCTTGCTTTTATCACCTGAGTCTTTTAGCAGGGAAGATCTACTTCTCCAGAGTTACTGCCACCTGATACTTCTACCAGGGAACATTTTTTTTTTTCCTGATTTTGCAATGGTAGGAGTGTGATTATCACGAACAAACAAATCCTTTGCCACTTGTCTCCACGTTGTGCAAACACATCTTTTTAACTGAAATATTTAACTTTTCTTTCTTTCTTTCTTTCTTTCTTTCTTTCTTTATTTTGATTTATCGATAATCACTTACATATGCTTTTGAGTTTAAAATTTTTCTCACCCTTCCTCCTCACTGCCCTCCCCAAGATGGCACATAGTCTGATATAGGCTATACATTTACATTCATATTAAACATATTTTTACATTAGTGATGTTGTAAAGTAAAAATTAAAGCCAATAGGAGGAACCATCAGAAAGAGGAAACAAAACTCAACAGAAGAGAAAAAAAATTAGCATTTCAGCTTCCATAGTTCGTTCTTTGGGTATGGATAGCATTTTCCATCACAAGGCCTCAGGAGATGTCTTAGATTCTTGTATTTCGAGGAAGGGTTAAGTTTATCTCTATTAGTCATCATGCAACATGGCTGTTATTGTGTACAACGTTCTCTTGGTTCTGCTCACTTCACTCAGCATCAGACCATACAGGTCTTTCCAGGTTTTTCTGAAGTCAGCCTGTTCATCATTTCTTATAGCACAATAGTATTCCATCATATTCATATACCACAACTTGCTCAGCCATTCCCCAATTGATGGGCATCCTCTCAATTTCCAATTCTTTGCCACCACAAAAATTGCTGCTATGAATATTTTTGTACATGGAGGTCATTTTCCCTTTTGTGTGATCTTTTTGGGATATAGCCCTAGAAGTGCTATTGCTGGGTCAAAGGGTATGCACATTTTTATAGCCCTTTGGGCATAGTTCCAAATTGCTCTCCAAAATGGTTGGATCATTTCACAACTCTACCAACAATGCATTAGTGTTCCAATTTTCCCACATCTTTTCCCACATTTGTCATTTTCCTGTTTTGTCATGTTGGCCATTCTGATAGGTGTCATGTGGTACCTCAGAGTTGTTTTGATTTGCATTTCTCTAATCAATAGTGAGTTAGAACATTTTTTCCTGTGACTACAGATGGCTTTAATTTCTTCAACTGAGAACTGTCTGTTCATATCCTTTGACCGTTTATCAATTGGATAATGGCGTGAATTCTTTTAAATTTGACTTAATTCTCTATGTATTTTAGAAATGAGGCCCTTATCAGAGGGACTGGTTGTAAAAATTCTTTCCCAGTTTTCTACCTTCCTTCTAATCTTAGTTGCATTGGCTTTGTTTGTACAAAAACTTTTCAATTTAATGTAATCAAAATTATCTATTTTGCTTTTTGTAATGTTCTCTGTCTCCTGTTTGGTCATGAATTCTTCTGTTCTCCATAGATCTGACAGGTAAACTATTCCTTGCTCTCCCAGTTTGCTTTATATCTAAATCATGAACCCATTTTGGTATATGTTGTGAGAATATTTAACTTTTCAAAAAAACATTTTTATTTACTTCATTAAATGTTTTCCAATTACATTTAAAAATTTTTTTAACATTCATCTTTAAATGTTCATCCTTAACAATTTTGAATTTCAAATTGAATTTCTGTTTTTGCAGACGCTGTCTCTCAAGTCTGAATGTCCTCCCTTTTCACCTATTTTACAAGACTCACCTTTTGTGCCTCCTTCTATGGGAATAATTTCCCAATCCCCTAAGTTGTTAGTGGTCTGTCCTACCTCATATACTTATCTTTTTACATGTTAAGTTCTCTTAATATAAGGGTTATTAAACTCAGGTCTGTTGATCCCCAGGGATAGAATTTAGGGATTCCTAAAGCTCCTTAAGGGTAAGGATTTTTTTTACTTTATCTTTGTAGCCTTAGCCTCTACCATGGTGCTTTGCACATAGTAAGTGTTTAATAAATGCTTATTGTATTGGAAATATTGAAATGCCATGCTAGACACTAGGATAACAAAATTTAGAAGTGTAGCTTCTGTTCTCAAATCTATGTGGAGATGGTAATATGACATTTCCACAGGTAAGTATAGCACAGGGTTGAATGTGATAAAGCGTACTCTAGGGAAATTTGAGGAGGGGAGGATTGATTTTAGTGAGGTGGATCAGGGAAGGTTTATTGGAATAGGGGGCACTTGATCTGGGCTTTAAAGGAAGAGGTGTTCATGTCTTGGAGTCCTAGAGAATCCTGGGAAATGAGACAGGATTGGGGAATTACTAGGAATTGTGTTTTCCTTGAAAGTAGAGAGGGTAAAGGGGAGTAGAATGAAATAAGACGTAAAGAAGTGGTATGCTAGTGTGCTTTGGGGAGATGATTGTTAAATTTTTCAGGGTGAGCATTTATGCCTTAGAAACTGGCAAACGCCACAAATCAGGTCTTGATTTATCATTTGGTTGGTTGTCTAGACTGAAGAAGATGTTGATGATACAGATTAAGTTGAAAGATGTCTTATGCCTATTTCCCCTCAGAGAGACAGTAGGCCATGAGGAGGAGTCTTTTGAGAAAGCTAATGGGAGGTAGTGTGGCTTTGTGGGAAGAGCTGGAAATGGCCCGTGTCTTAGTCCTGTCACTACTGGTGAGCCTCTCTGGGCCTTGATTTCCCCATCTCTAAATGATGTAGTTGGGATCTATGTCCTCCAAAGTTACTTCCACACCTCAGTCTATGGTTATATCATGTGATGATGCTCA